AAAATAATGCAGCGTGCACACAGCATTATTAAAAATAATGCAGCGTGCACACAGCATTATTAAAAATAAAGCAGCGTGTATCAGTGCACACAGACATTATTCGCAATCCTTCGTCATCCTGACAAGTACACGCGATAACGTGAACATGCATCTCAAGATGAGAAGTTGACAGTGCTAAAGGCCCCTCATACAATATCATCGGGCGCCTGAAGCTAGTGATGGGCGATACTATCGAAAAAGTATCGAAATCATCGATACTTGCAAAAGTATCGATACTTTCGATACTCATAAAAAGTATCGGTAATTCGATACCACTTGAGCCTGCGATGTTTTTGGTCAGCATTGCTGAACAATCGCTAAATACTTCATGAAGGCAACAGACTGAAGGCCCCTGAAGGCAAAAAATGTTGACATGATAACAAAAACATGTAGCTAATTAGCAATATATTTGTTGAAAACATTGGTGTTTAGATTTAAAATCACACTTGCAAATGTTATGTTCGATTATTTGGCAGGTACTCCAGTTAGAGTATTCTTTGACTTGTTTTAAACATTAATGTTCTTGTTTTAAAAGTTATTTTAATAGATGGAAAAAATTGAGTATCGGTATCGATTTTGGTATCGGTATCGACCAAAACTCATGGTATCGGACTGGTATCATATCGAAACCAAAAAAGCTGGTATCGCCCATCACTACCTGAAGCACTGCCAAAACGGTCACTGTGAGTCCTTTCTGCTCAACTTTATAGAGAAATAGTTTCGTTTGCGCTTGTGGGATTTTATCCTAGATATACGCATGTGCAGAACACACCATAAGTTCTATTCCCGTGTTTATCCAGTTTACTACGCTCTTTGAATTAACCTTATCATTAATGATAATATGTAAACTAGAACACTATAATTGACCTCCGCTTGTGGAGATTTTAATTTAGGGCGATTAATTAAACTGAAATCTGTTCTGTCACGATGCATTACATGCATGTCCTCACAAATGTCTAGTGTAACGTTGGATAGATTCATTGTCATACGGTCCCAACAAGCAGCAACGTAGTCTTCCAGCCGAAAATAATTACTTTTGATTCGGGTCAGTAGCTGGTCAGTAATTATAACAGATAATTACCGAAGGCCTCAGCTGGCTGCAATATATCGAATAATGCCGTTTGGCCTCAGTAATTATCTATTAAATATTCACTGAGGCGAGATTTTAGTTTTCTTTGTGAAGAGTTTGGCGAAAAGTTTGATAAAAAGACAAATGATAGGGACTTTCTAGATTTGGAAGAGGACGGGCTGGATGGAATACTTTCCCAGTCATTGGACTTGTTCGAAGAGCGGATATGTCCTCTGGAAAACCGATGAGCAGCAGTATAAAAGGTATCAAAAATAGTACAAGGTATCAGATAAGATAAGGGTGAAACGGCGAAAAGTAGCGTAGCATTAGAGAGACCTGCTGATGGAATGGGATCGGATGTTTTAAATATCAGTGGTGGCAATTGTAACGTTACGATAGAGAAGAAATCCTATAGTAGGCTTAAACTTATGGCGTTGTAGTTAAATGAAAATGATGTTTTAAAAAGCAAGTTGTTGTAGTGTAAATTTGGCATTAATAAAAAGCAAAGTTGTAACCTATAATGGTTCATTTTTTATTCAAGCGAAAAATTGGGGTCATTATTTAAATAATGGAGGTCATTATTTAAAAAAATAACCTCTTGTCCATTTAATGATCATAACAAATGACGTAGTGTTCATTTCGGCAAACCGTTTCTTAAAAATAATAACCTATTCAAAACAATGCCAAATGTGCATTAATAATTATAGTTGAAGAACTTTCAGGCCTTTCATCAATGCAAAACAATACACCCTTTCGAAAATTACGTCGCAAATCGTGGATATATCCTGGTAGCCTCGTTCTTATTAATTATGATCGAATAGTCTTTCGTCTTGGTTCACGACAACAGGGCTTCCAGGTCAAGGAAGTATTCGTAACGTAAGGTGGAGTTAGACGAGCAACAAAATTGCTGCAACTTGCAACAAAATCTGATTTCAACGCATGTTAAGTAGAAATGTTGACACATGTTGCCTTGTGATTTGTAATTTTTGTGTAAACATTTTCACTTAACATGCGTAGAAATTAGATTTTGTTGCAAGTTGCAGCAATTTTGTTGCTCGTGTAACTCCACCTTTATTGAAGCGGTGTATTAATTATTGATTCATGATTGAGTCGGTTTTCTTTGATGTACCGAGGTGATTATTTTTAATAGTCACCTTGAATATTAATTAGCTAAAAAATGAAGGAAAACTCAGTAAATCCTCGTTCAAAGCAGACGAATCAGACAAAACTCTGTTGGAAAACCTCCTCAACCGTGAATTAAGTATGATAAACACATGCATGCAAAGTTGGGATTTAAGACATATAATGCCCTCGGACTCTGAGCGTCTTCGGGTCATTATCTGACATAAATCCCTCCTTTCCCTCCTTCTAGGTATATCTTATACTCAAAACATTCAGATCACGTGAGGTCAGTGATATAAGTGGGAAAAAGGAAACAATGTTAAACTTTTATAAAATTATTAATTATTACTGTAAATTGCAAAACCATAATTATACATTTGCATTTTTACCTTTCCTAAAAAATACTAGACTCTATAAAGTCTGATAGTCATTGATACATGCAATTTTTTTAAATCAAAGCGATTACATTACTTAAATTGCAAAACCATGATTATACATTTGCATTTTTATCTTTCCTAAAAAATACTAGACTCTAAAGTCTGATATATAGTCATTGATACATGCAATTGTTTTAAATCAAAGCGATTACATTACTAAGTATTCAAATATATACACGAGATTCACGGATTTTTCGGAACGATCTTCGCACAGGCCGAGCAGCACATGACAGAGGTATTGGCATTAAACGACTATTTCAATGCACAATACAAATAATCGTCCGGAATTTGGATTTTACAAACGTTCTCAGTACCGTTCCGCTTACACGCGAGATGATATAGGATTGTTTGCATGCTTGCCTGGTCAGTGAAAATCACTCGGAAAAATTCATTTCTCAAATAAATGAAATCAGATAATCATACTACTATAGAAACATTTTGCTACATATTAATTTTATGTCTCATGCAAGCATCATATTACAAACGTTTTATATACCTAAAGTCTAGAAAAGGTCAATTATATATATTAAGGAACGTTCATAATTTATGTGGTGGTGGTGGTGGTGGGGGCGGGGGCTATGAGTTTTTTGGGGGGATTCAGTTATTTTTAACAGTAATCTTTAGAGGGGAGGCTGTAAAGAATAAGTTAAGAATCTGGGGTCATCAAGAAACGCTATACTATTCACACTTGTCGTGTTTACCATATCAAATATATTTGCTACCTGAAGTCTATATACTGTACAATATATACAGTTAAGTTAATTCAAAACTAAGGTTGTTCTGAAAATCTTTAACTCAGTTTAAACCCCCAAACTCTTAGCGTGCAAAGCATCATGGGGGCATTATTCACACTATCGGTATTTTGTATCATACAGCTCAAAAAAATTATAAGTGGCCTATTTTTGCCATATTCATGATGTTTTGCACGCTTAGAGATTAAAAATCAAGGTTTTAACTTTTCTCAGGACAACCTTCTTTCGATCTTATTCAGATTAAACAACTGCGCTCCCACTGTCATGTATATATGCCACAGCAAATGTTCCTGGATTTGTAGCATTGCAGACATTTACTGTATAAAGTTTATTTCATTGATATTATTATATATTGTCAAAATTAATTATTCGCTGTATAAATATCCTCAAGAGATTTCAAATGCTTTAAATTAAATAGGGGTTGAGCTCAACATAAAACAAAGGAAAACAAATAGTTTTATTCGAATAGTTTGGGGTTTTTTGTTTTTTGTTTTTTTTTGGGGGGGGGCGGAGTCATGATTTTTGTAACTATTGAATGTTTGTTGTTTGGGGGGGG